TGCACTAACCAGATAGCGCATTAATTGCGCATGGAGCAAACAATGCACTAACCATTAATTGCGCATGGAGCAATTAAGACCTGCTCCTGGTGCTCTGGACTTGTGATACCAGGCAGATGTCATCAGCAAGTCGGTCACTAGATGTCATCAGTATAGGTGTATTCTTAAGCATTCCACCAGGGCCATCATCAGCAGGAGAAGGGGGGAGTCATATAACATCCAAATCCTCAGGAACCTTCAAAAACGGCGCACATGGAAATAATGAGCCCCAAGAAAGCTTCTAATAGTGTAGTAGGTCTTTAATGGTCAAAATTCCAGCATAAACAGAAAGATAAAAACTTACATCAGGATCTGATATATCAACCAATCAGGATGGCCTTGCGGTTTAAGCACACAGGTCAGGGGCACCTGGCTGACGCGTTTCGTGTAAAAACACTTCCTCAGAGGGAGTGTGCCCATGCTGTGTGAGTTCTATATATAATAAATACGAAATTGGTGCGCATTAGTGCACGGCCCGCATCACCCATCGCGGTTTGCGCATGCGCAGTTGCGAAAAACGCGGCCATTTTCTTGGAGGTTTAAATAAGTAACCGAGAAGGGCTTTCGCACATGCGCAGTGAGCGCTTTTTTCGGCCATTTTCCTAGTGATTAATCCAATAGACCGTAACCATCAAAATAGACCTAATGATTATGATGTGCCCAACCCCCATCATTTTTTAGGAAAAGGCTCAGGCATAAAAAGAAGCCTAAGACAAGAGGAAAGCGAGGAGGAAATTAGGATTAATCGACAAAAGGAGAAAAATGTAATGAATACTGGCATTTTTAACCTTAGTGGTCAGACCCTAACTGCTAAAGAATTGGAACTTCTTAATAGAGGTCTCAAATTCGCACCCCCTGCAAAATTAAATAAATTTAATACGTTTATTGACATTCAGAAATTTACAAGGAAACTATCTTTAAAAAGACACTTCCTTACCAACCCAATTAGCAGAACACCCCCGAAGACAGACAATACAGGTTTTAAAACCACAAGTTTAAGAATTGCCTCACTCTTCAATCCACAGGCCCACTCTCATATTAATATATTTAGGCATATGGTCATCAAGGACCTAGAAAATTTGAGAGTGAAGAAATGGAACAACAAACCCTATGACCGGAAGCAGATTGATACTATGACCAAAGATTTGTTGGAAAATAAAAATCTGGTCATTAGACCTGCAGATAAGGGGGGGGTGGCGTTGTTGTGATGGATAAAGTAGATTATCTGGCCCAAGTTCATAATATCCTGGATGATAAAGATACATACATAGAACTACAAAGAAACCCCCTTTTAACATATAAGAAAATTCTAAAGACTCTAATTAAAAAAGGATCAGATTTAGGTATTCTAAACAAAAAAGAAAAGGAATACCTATGCCCTACGGCCCCAAGACTTCCTATACTCTACTGTTTACCTAAGATTCATAAAGATCCTATTAAACCTCCTGGTCGCCCGATAGTGAGTGGAATAGGTTCTCTATGTTCCCGTATCGGGGAGTATCTAGACTCTTTTCTGCAACTGGTCTGTAAAACACCATCCTTTCTTAAAGACTCAAAACAGGTACTGATGGACATTAAAGATATTCATATAAGCATACATACATTCCTTGTCACAGCGGATGTGTCCGCATTGTATAGCAACATAAAACATGAAGACGGCTTGAATGCTGCGAAGTATTATCTTAATGAAGCCACCGATATACCATATTCTCAAAAGCAATATCTACTAGAATTACTTGAATTTGCCATGAAACACAACTATTTCTGGTTTAATGAGAAATACTACTTACAGTTGACTGGAGTTGCCATGGGTGCAAAGTTCGCGCCGAGTCTAGCGAACCTCTTTATGTCAAGATGGGAAGAGGATATAATATATTCGAGAGACTGGCCCCATCTAATTTTCTATCGAAGATTTATAGATTATATCCTACTTCTTTGGGATGGTAATGAATTCACGCTAAATAATTTTTTCACCACCCACAATTATAATAGCCAAAATATTAAACTCACTTTTCAGCATAGTAACGGAGAGATCAATTTCCTAGACTTGACTTTATGTAATAATGGGACATACATTTCCACTAAAACATACTTTAAAATGACAGATAGGAACAGCTGTATTCCTAAAGATAGTTGTCACTTACCGAGATGGCTAAAAAACATACCAAGGGGCCAATTTCTCTGTGTCCGGAGAAATTGTACTGAAATAGAGGATTATAGAACTCAGGCCAATATTCTTAAGGGAAGGTTTATTGAAAAGGGCTATGACGTAAATGCTCTAGAAAGAGAAATCAACAAAGTGGCCAATGGAGACAGAACTAACCTCCTGACTTCCAAAAACAAAGTCAAAACAAAAAGGAGTTGTCCCTTCATTACCAGTTACTCGACACAGCATAAGGAAGTATCCAACATTATTAGAAAGAATTGGAACATTTTAAAGAATGATCCTGTACTGGGTGAAACTCTACCAGACTTACCGGAAATTACGTACAGGAGAGCGCCAACATTAAGAAATATGCTGGCCCCTAATGTAGTTAACTCCCCTAAACCCTTGACATTTAGTTTTCTCAACACCAAGGGTTTCTTCCCCTGTAACAGGTGTATGCTATGTACCTTTAATGGCATACATAAGAAACCTATAAAAACTTTCAGCTCGAATGTGACTGGTATATCTTACGATATTCAATCGACTATCACCTGCTATAGCTCCCATGTGGTATATCTCTTGTGGAAAGCAATATGTGGGAAGAACCACGAGAAGACTGAGAGATAGGTGCTCACGCAACCTATCAAACATTAAAAAGGGTTTTAAGGAACATTCTGTTTCCATGCACTTTCGACAACATCATAACAGGAATCCGCATACATTGAAATTTATAGGTATTGACATAATTAATAAAAATTGGAGAGGTACGCACAAAAAGAGAGCTGTTTCAATGTTAGAAACTAAGTGGATCTACCTGTTACACACTCAAGCACCACATGGCTTGAATGTAGAGCTAGATATTAATTGCTTTATTGATACCAGCTAAATATACAACATTCTGGTTTATTGTAGTACTATGAGTTTTATTTATATTATTATATTTTTATGTATTATTATTTTTATCTCTATTGGAATATGAAATAAGTTTTCATACTATGGGGCCTATTTCTGCTTGAACATTGTTTAATATCAGACTTTTATGGTAGTATTGTTTTGAAAGTATATCACTTTTTACACTATATTTTGTATACAATTATATAATAGATTGTATGTTTGCTCTTAACTTGGTGATATCCATTTTTATGAATGTATGAGGGTCTGAAAAAAATATTGATCCCATATGTTTTAGTGTTTCAAACGGTAATCATCACTTTTTAACACTGAAGGATGTTTGATTCATCCATTTTACTGTGTACAAATTATGATCATTTATATTTATTTCTATTGATTTTATAGTATTGTGAAGTTCATTACACTCCACTTGCATTTTAGTTCATCACACGCTATATATGACTCTGATGCGTCTTTAATTAATGCAAGCTTATCCCATATAATGAAACTGGAATGTCTGAACGATCTTTTGAATAACCACTGGATGGCACCATTTTTAAGTTTTATTAATTTATCTAATATACCATTTAATTATTTTATCTATAGGAATGTAAGTTTACACACCATCAAATATATTATTAGGTTATAGCACAGCAATAGAAAATTAGGTCAGCATAGCAAATGACAAGCTGTTGCTGTTCCCTTGCTGTCCTTCATATGTATATATGTGTTACTACCTTGCTGGTATATGTGCACTGAAGCACCGACAAAATGGCAACCGCGATCACTCACTGCACATGCGCGAATGCCTCTCTCTGTCTATTGGATTAATCACAAGGAAAATGGCCGACAAGCGCTCACTGCGCATGCGCGAAAGCCCTTCTCGGTTACTTATTTAAACCTCCAAGAAAATGGCCGCGTTTTTCGCAACTGCGTATGCGCAAACCGCGATGGGTGACGTGGCCGTGCACTAATGCGCGCCACTTTCGTATTTACTATATATAGAACTCACACAGCATGGGCACACTCCCTCTGAGGAAGTGTTTTTACACGAAACGCATCAGACAGGTGCCCCTGACCTGTGTGCATATACCGCAAGGCCATCCTGATTGGTTGATATATCAGATCCGGATGTAAGTTTTTATCTTTCTGTTTATGCTGGAATTTTGACCATTAAAGACCTACTACACTATTAGAAGCTTTCTTGGGGCTCATTATTTCCATGTGAGCCTGTTTTTGAAGGTTCCTGAGGATTTGGATGTTATATGACTCCCCCTTCTCCTGCTGATGATGGCCCTGGTGGAATGCTTAAGAATACACCTAGACTGATGACATCTAGTGACCGACTTGCTGATGACATCTGCCTGGTATCACAAGTCCAGAGCACCAGGAGCAGGTCTTAATTGCTCCATGCGCAATTAATGGTTAGTGCATTGTTTGTACATTCACAACAACACAAGAGTCACGTTTATTCTTGATCATGGACTTTTGGAACACCTGCACTTAATCACTTTACTATAAGGACTGAGTTATCTAACATATTTAACATATGTTATTGTGCATTATTTAGTTATTTATTTGCTTCGTCATTTGATTATACTTACATTAGTGCTGCATACTTATTTTATATTTTTTCATACTAGGTTTTAAAGGTTGCCTTTATGCTAGCGGCTTTATATTACTATTGTTCCCAGTGCTCAATTACTACTTTTTTTCTAGAAATATACATATATATTTCTTTTGGATGCAATATATGTGAAAGTGAAACAGTGCCATATTTACCAAAGGGTGGCATGTGTGTGGCCTAAAGTCTATTTAGATTTTATATTCATGAATCAGAATTGTGTCGAATGACATGTGTCCCTTGCTTACTGCCAGCCCATGTCCCCCCTATCATTCAACCATTTCTTCTCTTCTTCTACAGTTTGTGGAAAAGTCATCTGACAGACAGTTCCTGTCCCCACCTGGCATCTGGAATAAGAAATAACCAGACACTGAGGACACTGGACCTGTCTGGGAACAATCTGGAAGGTCCTCATTTCAGTGATCTGATGGCAGCTCTGACAACAAGCCGCATAGAGGAATTAGAGTGAGTATAACAGGACTGACTGAGACAATAATATTCTGGGACAGTTTTATATCTAAACCAGGGACGGACTGACAACTCATGGGGCCCCCGGGCAATAGTTGATCATGGGGCCCCTGTGTCCTTGCCCAAATTCAAAAAAGCCTATGAAAAAGGTACCAGGGGAATCTCATGGGGCCCCCTACTGACCCCCGGCCCTCGGGCAGTGCCCCGAGTTTCCAAATGGTCAGTCCACCCCTAATCTAAACCACATACATAATAAAAATATTAATAACATAATTAAATGAATCTCCTTGTCTGTTATCACACACTTTCATCAGCTATAAATTAGTTGTTTACAGAAGCGGTTTGTGTTATGGCACTGCGTTACTTTAACTGACAATTGTGCGGTCTGCTCCAAAATGAAAGTTACATCTTTTTTCCCCCATGAATTGGGACTTCTTTTGGTGCGATTTGATCGACTGTGCGTTTTTAGTTTTTGCACTATCAAAAAAAAAAAAGGCTGAAAATTTTGAGAAACAAAAAAACAATATTTTGTACTTTTTGCTCTAAAACATGTCCTGTAAAAAATATTTAAAAACCAAATTTCATCATAAAATTTCAGCCAAAATGTATTCTGCAACGTCTTTGCTAAAACAAAAAAAAAATCCCAATACGTGTAAATTAATTAGTTTACGTGAACGTTATAGCATTTACAAATGGCGGTATATATACTGGTATTTTTTTTTTAATACTAATAATGACAGCGATCAATGACTTATGGCGGTGATCAGCGACTTATGGCGGGACTGTGGCAGACATTCTGACACTGGGGGGAACTGACTTGGGGTCACTGACATCCCCAGTGACACCGATACAGTGATCAGTGCAAAAAAAGCGCACTGACACTGTACTAATGGCACTGGGGAAGAAGGGGTTAACATTATAAGGCAATCAAAGGGTTAATTGTGTGAGGGGAATGTTTCACTAGGGGGCGTGGGATGTGTGCGCTTCATTGTAACACACTGATCGAGAAGGTTGAGCTCATCCATCCGGATAAGTGTGCTTAAACTGACAGGGAGGAGAGCTGCAGTGTAAATACTGCAGCCATGTTCCCTGTCAGTGATTGCTAGTAATCTCCTGCTCCAGCGGGTAATCACCGGCCAGGGGCCGCGATCACAGCGCGAGTAAGGTGGGCGCGCGCCCTCTACCACAAATGCAAAATCACGTATATATGCGTGATTTTGCGCAGCATTGCCAACCTAATGCAGTATATGTACTGTGGCTGGTCGACAAGTGGTTAGTAAAACATTGCTAACATCTGATTTTCTGTTTTGTCAAGCAACTAATAAAACAAAAGAGATTGTAGGAGGTCATACAAGGGGGAATCTGATCTTATTGCAAGGACCAATTAGAACCTCACATGAGCTGGATATAACCATACGATATTCAGTGTCAAGGGGATCTCCTCCATCACTACAAATACAGTGTTCATTGTAAGGGGGGGTCTTCCCATTACTACACATCCACTATTCAGTATTCACTCAGTGTGATCAATATATTTATTGCTAAGCAGGAGAGGGAATGTATTAATGGTCAGTTGTCTGTTATTTTTATAAACATTTTATTGGTGACACATTTATTATTTGAATAGGCTCTCATGTGGTGTCAATGAAGACACATAACACTGATTCCGGTTGCAGTAAAACTCAAAACTTGGAGAGAATGCCAACTACTAAGAGAGTGCCGCTTCGGATAAACTCACAGTTCAGTTCAGTACAGAGATACAGCAGGTAAAGATGCACAAACAGCGTCTGTCTTCAGAAGGAAAAATGTCCCCTGTCCCAAAGGGGAGGCTTCCATGCAGGAATGAGAGCCCTAACCTGTCCCTACTCATCAGGGACCTTTCCTGCTGCCATCACTTTCCCTGACAGACAGTTGCACTTTCCCTGACAGACAGTTGCTCTTTCCCTACATTAGTCACTTCTAAATGTGTGCCAAAACCTGGGAGCAGGGACTTACAAAGACTCTGCTGACCCAAGATGGCTGCCAGAGGTCACCTGGATGCAGCATAGCCAACCAGAACCAAGTTTCACCTGACTTCCTCTCCAGGCTGTGATATCATTGCAGTATCACACCTACAGTGGAAAAACCAGACTGCACCTGCCTATAATCTACCATAGCATTAGAAGGGTTCATAAATATCTGAATGATCAGTTTTTCCAGAACTTGTCTATAAGGATGTGAAAAAAAAAGTGTTTTTTGCAGTGTAGGGCTGAGTTCTATATAAGGCCTAGCCAGGGCTGCTGTTAGGAATTATGGGGCCCCATCCCCCCTCTTATCAAAAGGATATTATCACTAAAAATACACTAAAATTATTATTAGTGGACACAAACATAACATAACTAACAAAATTCCTGCTAAATCTAAATGATAAAACTGTATTGAGTTAATAGTTAATAAGGTTCTGTGTGTAAATAAGGTCTTGGGGCTCATTCACATAAATCCTGTGGCCTGTATGGTGTGAATCAACTTTTTTTCTTTTTTAAAAATGTGGCTATTGCTGTGTGCAGGCAGCCTATGTTACGCTATGGGGATGCAACAGCTGTATGAACACAGCCGCAGGTCGTAATTTGACAGGTATGTGGATGCAGGCGTGTGGCCCCAAACACAAAGAGTATGCATTTGGGGCCACTCACCCCACGCCTGCACATTTATTACAAGCAACAATTCAATATAAAAAGAAGTTACAAACATTTTAAGCTTTAATAACTTAACCATTTCAATACCGTGCAATTTTACACCTTCCTGCCCAGGCCATTTTTTACGTTTCAGCGTTCTCACACTTTGAATGACAATTGCGCGGTCATACAACATTGTACCCAAACTAAAATTTTATAATTTTCTTCACAAAACTAGAGCTTTCTTTTGGTGGTATTTAATCATTTTTATTTTTTGCTAAATTAACAAAAAAAGACCACAAATTTTGAAAAAAAAAAACAAGTTTTTTTTGTTTCTGTTATAAAAGTTTACAAATAAATAATTGTTCTTCATAAATTTAGGCCGAGATGTATTCTGCTAAATTAGGATGTATTTTTTAGTTTGTAGGAAAGTTATAGAGTTCACAAACTATGGTGTATATCTGAATATTGATCAATCCTGAAGTACTGACAGCCAATCTAATTTCTTGAGGTCCAAGAATGTCAGAATAGTACAGATATCCCCAAATGACCCCTTTTTGCAGAGTAGACAGCCCGACGTACTTCATAAGAGGCATGGCGAGTTTTTTTGAAGTTGTGTTTTTTTTTGTCATAATTTTTCGGAAAATTAAAAAATTAAAAAAAATATTTTCACTATTTTATATTTTACATACTGTCACCAGTGCAGTACAGCATCATCATATAACTGGCATGGCGGTGAACAGGGACCCTGACTGGTGACAGTATGAAATATATATATATATATATATTTTTTTTTTTTTTTTTTTTATTATTTTTAATTTTTTATTACATTTTTTTTATTTTTTTTTAAGATTTTTTGTTCATATTTTACTATGACCAAAGTAGTACAATGTTACCATAGTAACATTGTACTACTTTGGGGAAGTGATCAGTATTTTTTTTTTACACAATTTGCTTCTAGCAAAGAATTACTTTGCTATAAGCAAGCATTTAGCTGAATGAAATCGATTCATTCAGGTTTTTTTTTTTTTTTTGCTTAGCTGTGATTTGGTCACAGCTAATCACATGACATGTGCATGTGATTAGCTGTGACCATTCACAGCTAGGCACTAGTATACAATGGATGGCATGAATGAAGCCATCCATTGTATACAACTGTCATGTGACCTGCTGTGATTGGTCACAGCAGGTCACATGGTACCAGCAACGGGGGCCGGTACTCAGATCTGTCATCGGCCGTGTCCGAGGTACACGGCTGGTGACAGATCGCTGCGCGGCTCTGCATTAGCGCAAACTGCGCATGTGCGGGAGCACGCCAAATGGCGTGCACCCGGAATGCCGAAGCACTTTTGAAGCCGCCAAACGGCCATTGGCCTGCTAATGGTTAATAAGTCAAACCTCTAAAAAAACCCTTATGATACAATTTCTCTAGCTTATATTTTAAGTAGCATATAATACCTGCACTTTAACCACTTTACAACCACGCTATAGCTGAATGATGGCTACAGAGCCGTTGTCCAGTTCTGGGAGCGTCATAAGATGTCCTTCCAGAATGCGCCCCCAGCGGTGTGCACTCAACGCTGTTAGTGATTGCTGTGTCCTACGGACACAGCTGATCACATGACTAGGTCAAAGGCCAATCACAGTGGCCTTTTACCATGTGATCAGCTGTGTCCAATGACACAGCAGATCACAAAATAAATACAGTTGCCGGTTATTGGAAGCACTTTCCTCATGCTGTCACATCATGGGAAAAGTACTGCCGAAACCAGCAAATGTCACAGAGGACACCCGCATTATTAATCAGGGCACTGATGATCAGTGCCCATCATTGCTACATATCAGTGCAGCATCATCAATGCCTCCTCATCAATGCTGCCTCATCAGTACCACCTCATCAGTACGGCCTATCAGTGCCCATCAGTGCTGCCTATCCATGCCACCTCATCAGTGATGCCTATCAGTGCCCATCAGTGCTGCCTATCCATGCCACCTCATCAGTGATGCCTATCAGTGCCCATCAGTGCTGCCTATCCGTGCCACCTCATCAGTGCCCATCAGTGCTGCCTATCAGTGCAGTCTCATCAACACACATCAGTGAAGGAGAAAAATTACACATTTTGCAAAATGTTACAATAGAAACAAACTTTTTCTTCAAATGTTTAGCTCTTTTTTTGTTTATAGTGCAAAAAATAAAACCGCCAGTGGGGATTAAATACCACCAAAAAAAAAAGCTCTATTTGTGTGAAAAAAAAAATTAAAGCTGAAAATTGGCCTGGGCACAAAGGATGTAAAAGTGCCCAGTAGGCAAGTGGTTGAACAAAGAAGGAAATGAGGACTC